AAGCCAAAAATATAGTGCATTGGCAGAAAGTTTCAGGACAGCGATGTTGACCCAGCAACAGCGCTGTCAGGCCAAAACTCCACCTTCAAAGTCAGACCTAAACAGCGATGTTCAAGTATTGAACAGCGATGTAAGGACCTGACCGTTGGAAGGAATTTAAGGCTAAAACTTTCCTTGTTTGGAAGTCAACAGCCAAAACAGCGATGTAGGAGTATTGGACATCGTTGTTGGCATGACCGTTGCTTCCCAATTTTCAAAACCAAACCTAGAACAGCGATGTCTAAGCCTAGGACAGCGCTGTCTAGAAGATTTTCAGCAGACCCAATTTTAATCAAATCCCACAAATTGTGCCAATCACCCATTAAAAGTTTTGATCCGTTGGAGCCTATTTTTCCACTATAAAATGGGGTGTTTGGGTCTGTTTTACACATCACATTACTTCACAACTCCTACTCTTTCATTGCAAATCATTCTTCAATTATTCATAGCTTTTGAGAGCCATTTTTTGTGAAGCTTGTGTTGGGTTCTTGAGCGTTCTTAGTTTACTCATTATCCACTCTAAAAGAGAGTATTGTTCTTGAGTGTTTAAAAGAGCAAGTCGCTAAACTGAGAGCACGGTCAAGAAATTTAATACTCCTCACAAAGACGTAAATTTACTTCTTGACACTATGCATTTTTCTAAGGAAGGAATAGGTTTTGATAAAAATAAAGCTAAAGATAATGTTGAGCCACCACCTAGACAATGATCTAAGGTTCAACATAAGAGACCTAAAAATGAAGATAATAGAAAACCTAGTCAATCGAAGGACACTAGACAACCTAGACTAAAACCTAGGAATGAAAATGGTCATAGTAGACAACCTAAGAAAAATGAGTTTGTGCATAAAAATGAATTTTCTCAAATAAGAAGAAATAATGCTAGAGCACCTAGAAGAGGCCAATTTCAAAATTTCCAAAAACCATCATTTTCACAAAATAGGAACAAAATGGTTAAACCTTCTAACTATTATGAACCTAGGCACATGTACAACCCCAATGTAGTTTGCCATTATTGTAATAGGATAGGCCATATTGCTCCCGTTTGTTACACTAGGCATAGGCACCTATCACAAAATCAAGCACACTACCATTACACACCTAACA